AGGAAGAGAAGTGTTAAAAGAAGATCTGTGTTGGAAAATAGTCAATGGTGGGAAAGTGAGAGTATTCAGTGATGATTGGCTGACAAATGGACCTGTATACTCTTTAAAACCAGGGTATTGACTGATGATATGAAAAATTTAATAGTTAGTGATCTTATCAGAGATGGTAGATGGACACTGGAGAATTATGGGAATATTTTGGATGAGGAAGATATTGGAAGAATTAAAAGAGTCAAACTTCCAAGGTCTAATTTGGAAGATATGATGATGTGGTTGTGAAGCAAAGATGGCTGTTATGTAGTGAAACTAGGCTATAAGGCGATAAAGGAGAGAGAGGTAGGTCTTATATGTAAGGATCCTAGTAGCTCTTATAGAACTCCTAAACGAATTTGGGAAGGAATTTGGAATGTTAAAATGCCTCCAAAGATCAATCATTTTCTGTGGAGGGCAATTTCTGGTGCTCTGGCTACTAGGGAGGCTTTGTTTAGAAGAAAATGTCCAACTTCTCCAGTGTGTGGTATCTGTGGAATGTAGGAGGAAACCATTGAACATATGCTTTTCTTCTATTCTTGGATTGCACATGTTTGGTTCAGATGTCCACTCACTATGAGGTTTGTGGGGAATGGTGTATTTAGACTTGACAAATGGTTAGAAGAATGGTGAAAAGAGGTAGGGGGTCCGAGTGATATTGAAGTGGCTTTATTTGTCTCTCTGTGTTGGAAAATTTGGAAAGCTCACTGTAAATTTATCTTTGAGCATAAAGAGCTTAATGCTTTTTAGTGTGTGACTACTGCTTTGAGAATGGTTAGGGACTTCTGGGATTCCTTAGAAAAGAAGAAAAAGGGAGCTGGTCATGTTGCTTCTGATATAAGAAATTTACAGCGGGTTTGTCTAAATGCTGGTGCTATAAAGATCAATATTGATTGTTCTTTTTGTAGCAAAAGCAAAACGGCAGTAGTGGGTTTGGTGGGAAGAGATGAGTATGGGGGGTCTGTTGGAGGTATGGGGATGAAGGTAGATGCTGGTTCTGCTTTCATGAGTGAAGCTTTGGCACTACTAGTAGCTTTGGAGTGTAAAGAGTTGGAAAAGTGGAGGTGTGTGGAGGTGGAGACAGATTGCCAACAACTTTTCTGCAGAATGAAGAAAGGTGTTTTGGAAGGTTGTGAATGGGGAAGCAGGGATATTCTTCATATTTGTCTAGATTTGTTGAAGTCTAAACAGAATTGGTCTATCTCTCAGGTTGCTCGGGATGGTAATAAAGCTGCGGATTGCCTTATAGCTGATGTAAGGAGAGGAATGGTACCGGAAGGATGGTTCTTTGAACCACCACCCTCTCTGTGTTCAATTTTGAGGCATGACTTTTGAGGTGATTTGTGGTTTCTCTTGGGATAGAACTGGAATTGGCTAATAGTTTTGTTGTTCTGTTTTTTTTCCTTGTGTTTTTTCTTTTGAATTGGTGTTTGTATTTTTCTGCTTTTCCTAGGTTGTATTTCAGGTTTGAGTCTTTTCTTGTCTTGTTGGCCTTCTTGGCTATTCGTGTTTGTACTTCCTGTTTTTTTTATTAATAAAATTTACTCTTTTTGGCAAAAAAAATTAATTTTGTTCAAAGGAAACGTTTCGTACTCAAACAAACCATAATTACAAAGTTAACGCTTGAAGAACTAAATCCATTTCCTTGAATTTTCCAAAAAAATAGGTCCTAAATTCCTGAAATTAACTTTATAATTATTTAGACCATATTTTAGGGGTCTTGATTTCAATAATTTCTCTAAGAATTTTCTCGTTCATCATGCTTTACTTGAATCCATAAAATTTGGATATTACACAGATGACTTAGTCCGCGGAGATATTAGCAGTTTGCTTTACGAAACCAAAACCTTTAGATAGAACAAAAATCGCATTCGTACGTAGATTATAAAGTTCCAGATAATTTCAAAGATAGTAAAGAGAGATCTAACAGAATTGGCAAGGAAGAAAATAGATCCCAGGTTGGTTGATGAATTGATAACTACATGTCTCTATTCCTCGCAGTCTATTTATAGTTCAAAGCGAAAGTTTCGCATTCAAAGAAAGCATAATCACAAAATTAATGCTTGAAGAGCTAAATCCATTTCAAAAAACAAAACAGAATAATAGAATTTAATGCTTGAAGAGCTAAATCCATTTCAAAAAACGAAACAGAATAATAGAATTTAAACTAAACTTGAACAGACGGTGGCAGCCATGACGGAGTTAGGCACAAAGTTGTATAGTTTTGACAATGAAGCTTTTGAAGTCAGCTCAAGCCTATTCTTAACGTGTTCATAAACCGCGTTGCTGTCTGCTCCTTTGCAAGACCTTTTTTATTCTTGAGGAGGAATTCTTGTATACTCCTTCTTGTATACTCCGATCCCAATGTATCACCTCACATGAACTCTATGTAATTAAATGGCAACATCCCAGCACATTTTAATAGTGGATTTTTTTTTTAATTGGATGTAGAAAATTTATTGAGGCCAGCATCCAATGGCATCAAAATAAAAGATGATCTTGGTGGAATTATGAAAACCAATAAAGGAGATTCTTTTCAAGTCTCAAACATGAATCAATACAAACAAGGAAGTTATGAAAATATTGTTTGGAAAAATTGCTTATTGGATGATATCAGAGTTAAGTTGATACTTATGATCCGCTTTTAGAAATTTTAACTTGGGACTTAAAAAATATATTTTGAAGTCTCAGTTTGAGGGCTTTAGAAACACTAAACAGTGTACATAGTGACTAGGATTAGAAAAAGTTCAATACTTTATTGGGATGATTGTACTCCTCGTTTATATATAAGACCTATTTCACATGTATATTAATTTTTTTCAAATTAACCTTATTGATATTTTCTCAACAATATTCAAGTAGGAGAGGGAGGGAGGAAATTAAGGAAGACAATTAGAGTGTTTAAAAAAAACATATCATATTAACTAATTTAACTAACATCCTTAATCTACTCAAATAAGCTAATTATGTTTTACATTAAGGGCCAGGGGAGTAGTTAGTTTTTCTTTGTGTTTTGGATATGGAACAGGTTTGTATGTAAGACCCTGATTTAGCTTGGAACCTATCGGATTAAATGAATGAAGTTTTTTTTTTAAAAAAAACTCTTTTCGCTCTGTTCTTTATTGAGTGTTTGTCGTTCAGGTTGTTCTCTACAGTGGTGTTGGGCTTGATGTATGAAGCAATATTGTCTTTTATGCTTGTATCTTTGTTTCTAACTCCCTGTATTTGTTGTTTAAAGTATAATTGATCCTTTGACCTTTAAAACTGTTATTGATTTGATGAATACGCAAGTCCACCGAAAAATATTATAATTATACTTAATAATAAAATACTAGGAAAAATCGATGTCCAATTAGTCTAGCCGGATGAGGTACTAAGGGGTAACCCCAAAAACACTTTTCAAAAGCACTTTTTTATAAATAGAGGTAAACTCCTCACATATTTATTTCGTATACCGTAAAAGTATTTTTAAAACCATGGTTTTGTTTTTGTCCAAATACCCTCTAAGTCCCTTAAACAACATTGAGGGTTGTGAATGGAGCTGCTGGCTTGGGAGGGTTGCCCCCTATATGGCTTGCGAGGGTCGACTGTTCGGGCTGGATACCAAGGTGCTCACGAGGGGAAAAAAAAAACCACTAAGAAAAGCCTACATACCGTGAATTTCTTTTTATTTACTGTGAGACAAAAGAGAAGTCACACTTCTATTAACATAGGAACTGGAAATGGAATGAAAAGTATATATGATCCATGAAAATTGATGTGTATATTCCGTACCAGAAGAAGAAGAAGGAAAAAAATGGATTCTTAATGAATTTTGTTTCTTATTTGCCAATTTTATCTCTTTTGAAGGGTTCAATTAATAAAAAAATAAAAATTACGATAGAAATAGAATTATCTATTATTTATTATTCTGAATTTTTGTCCAATAGTTGAAAGTACGAAGTAAAAACACACATGTATAAACTTATGAGAGCATTTTATAGATATATATATGTATATGTCATGAGATGGGGGATATATGGAAGCTAGGGGTGTTCAATTTGTCCCGTCCCGGTCGTTCTGTCCCGGTCCCGGTGAGTTCGGGACGGGACGGGACGCGGGACGGGGTCGTCCTGTCCCGTCCCGTCCCGTCCCGGGATTTTTTTTTTCTTTTAAAAATTATTTATTAAAAATTATTATTAGATTATTCAATTTACTTATTAATAATAACTCTTATTTTTATGGTGATTTGTAGCTCTTAAGTTGTAGTATTATCTCAATAAAATCTCCTTCCTCAATAAAATAATTCATAAAGTCATTATATAGTGTTTTTTTAATGATATTTTTTTACAGTATTATTTTTACACTTTTTTTATGCTATATAATTAAGCTTTCTACATAATATTTTTTTTATAATGTTTTTATCTTTAAAAGCCCAATAAAAAATAAGTATTATAACATAAAAAAATTCATATAAAAAATTATGATATCTTTTTTTTAAAAAAAAAAAGGGGGAAGCGGGACGTCCCGGGACGGGACGGGACACGGGACAAAATCCCTGTCCCGTTCCTGTTCACCGGGACTTTTTTTGTAATTTTTTTTTTAAAGAATCTCACTATAATTGTCCCAAGAGAAAAAAAGCCCAAGGATATCCCCCCAGGCAATTCGTCTTAAATGATTTTGGTCCAATTTCTGCAGATAAGAGTTTGAAATACATCCTCTCGTAACCTTTTGTTTGGTTGGGGTTTTTCAGAGGGGAGGGAACGGTGCAAGAGGGCGTAGGGCTGTGGAGAAATTCTTGTAGAAACTGTACTAATCTTATAGATATATTAAGCCATAATGAGAAGCTTATATATGTACCAATTTTGTTGTCCCCCCCCCCCCGGGTTTTGGATGCATGAGGAAAACAAAACAGCATAAAAAGAACATAACAAAAGTGAAAAGCCTAAACTAATGAAGTGTAAGTAGAAATATGCAAGACTTCCACATACCTATTTGCTATATCTGTATGGGCCTCATTGATTTTACATCCGTCCTTCAGCAAGGAGATGGTTTTTGAAGAATTGCTCCTTGTATCTAGCTCTTGCTTCTTGAATGCCTCTAAGATGAGATTTCGCCAACTTGTATACACAAAACCTATAAATGAACTCAAGGGAAGATCAATTTTTCAGCCAAGTAAAAATTATGAAGCATACATGTTGTCTATCCCAAGTTATTTTATATTTCAATAAGCCTAATAGTAACGAATTTAATCGAAACTGGAGAGATTTTGGAAGAGTTTTGGAAGTCTACTTGCTTTAATTTTGTAAAATGATTCGAAAATATGTACCTAGAGCTGATGATACTGATGCAAAAACAAACTTTTTACAATGACCAAAAAAGAGCTTTCTATGACAATTTTATAACTAGTATCGATGGATACATGCACCTTGATGTAAAAAAAAAATCTAAAGCATACCTTAGCACCAATTCTGAAATAGACGCTCAGGGGAATGCCAAAAGTTACATCCACTCCCAATGGCTACAGCCTTCTAAATCAATATTAGATTCATCTCTTGATTTTTGCCATCTTTTAACTTTTGATCTGCAGAAAACGTGCCACTCATAATTGCTTAATTTAAACAGTACTGAATTATAATATATATATATATATATTGTAAAATGATATTTCAAGTTGGTTCAGTTACATCAAAACAAGAATATTGAACATGCCTAATATATAGTTGACCTATAGTGATTGGATCGTATATTTATTATTATTTCCTTCTAAACCCTTTTCTGTGATCCTTACCACATACAAATGACTGCGTAAAATCTTCTTCAACTTATGAAGTGAGAATGAAAAATTAAGGGAACGCATAAAATCTAGTTTGACCTTTGATGGAACGTTGAAACCATATACGTGTCATACAAGTAAAATGCAAAAAATAAGAAAATTTTTTAAGAAATGAAAATAAACCCGGCCAATAATATAAAACGAACAGCCCCTATGGAAAGGAAGTAATGAAGAGGATATAATATTTATAAGAATTGAAAGATTATTTTAAATTAATGTATCAACCAAAACTTTAAATATCCATCAAGCATGCATTAATACAAAATATAAATTTTGATCTAAAACCAGAAGGGTTGATCTACATACCTTGGGAGTATGGACTCATCTTCTTCAACAACGAACTGATCATGATGTCTGGAGCATTGAGTATAACCTCCGTCTTTCTCAACTTCAGTTCGTGTAACATCAGTGGCCTGTAATATTTCCATCATTGTCTCAGGGCCCAGGATTTGCAGACCCATTGCCCCATTAAGTGCTCTTTCAGCAAGTAAATGAGCAATGCCATTGCCGTGTCTGTGAAAGACGTGGATATCCACAAACCAATCCCACTCTAGCATCCCTTTGATTTCCATGATGAGAGCAATATCCTTGTGCGTCTCAGGGACTTCAAATTTGATCAATCGAACAGTCTCAGCGGAGTCGCTTCTCAAGATAACATCTCCAATACCAGCGTCCCAAGCTCTTTTGAGACCCATCAAGCAACCCCATAGTTTGGTTGTGAGGGTATCTCCGCCACTTAATTTTAGAAGAAAAGCCTCCTTCATACAATTGTTGCCATCTTTAAGAACGCCTCCACAAGCTGCTTTGTCATCTGAATGAGAATAGGCGCCATCCACTTCTACAATACCATCATCAGGTCTCGGCCGGGGACTATAACCTCCACTGTTGATGTCTGGATCAATCTTCACGTAGTTATTGATGATACTACAACCTTCGTCCCCTGTTCTTCGCCATGCTTCAACATCTTCTTTACACACCGCTCGCCACCCACACTTGCTTATTTTCACCCTTGGTGACTTGTTTTCCATTGCATTCTTAGAGAAAAATACCATTTGAAGTCCATTGACAACCAAAGAGGAATAAGGAATATATTTTATATAAAGCAGAGGAGTCATAGCCGGATGTAGATAAATACTCTGCCAACAATGCGAGTTTGGAAATTCATCATTAGGAAATCTGCAACTCCAAGAAATTCCATCCGACCCATTTCCAAATGCGAGATCGTGTTCTATGACTAAGCATATGGCTATGCCCCACCATTCACGTGAACCACAATAATCAGGGGATATATTTATTATGAACGACACATTATTTGGACACCTCCAGAATTCTTTCGCGCAAAAGTAGTTTTGATTATAAAACCACGATGGTACTCTGCTGCCTGGAATTGTTAATGAGCACCAACGTGGACGGAGGGAAAGAAACTGGGGCAAAAAAAAAACAGATTGTTTGTATCAGAAGTATGTTGATTAACACGTAAGAAATGGCAATATATACGTACAAGTAAAATAAACTATATATTTATTGTCAAAGAAATTAAGAAAAAAATAGGTGATTCTAAAAACTCACAATTTCTGAATCCCCTCTTATAATTGCTGACTTCATATTTAAATGGTTGTGAACCTATAAGAAACAATTTTGCGTGTTAAAGAAGTAAAATGATAGAGGTGAAAGAACAATTAAAGACAAATAAAATAAACCTGAGGTTGAAATGATTCAATGAAATCCCATAATTGATCTGCACATCCGTAATGTTTTAGTGATGAACAACCTTCAGCCCCTATATGTAATAGATTTGACGGAAGTTGCGGCAAAGACCGAAGCCTTGGGCAACTCCAGAGATTAACAACTTTAAGCTTCGAAAGACTGGAAATGAGGCCAGATGGTAAGTCAATGAAATCGTTTCCACTTAGAGCTAAAATTTCCAATGATGATAACATGCTGATGTCATCAGGAAGTGATCCATCTTGGAGATTGCAAAAACTTAAGTTTAATCCTTTCAAGAACGACAAAGACGGCGGCAACAAAAACTTTTTGGAGCTTGAAGGCCTTTGAAGAAGGGATAAGCAACTCCATGATGATGAAGATTGTGTTTCGCTATTGTAGTCACTAAATGATAACCCTTGTATAGCAATCCCACTCAAATGAAGCTGTTCCAAAGCTTCATTTTCATTCAAACTCTCTGGCAGCCATGAAAGCTTTGAGCATTCAGAAATTTTGATAACTTTCAGAGCTTTCAACTTGCTAACACTACATGGAAGACAAACCAGTTTTTTGCAGTTTGTCAAATTTAATTCAACGAGACCAATCAAATTACCCAAAGATTGAGGTAGTTTGGCTAGAGCAGTCTTCTCTAAATCAAGCTTCGATAGACATGCCATATCTTTTCCAAACTCAGGAAGTTTTCTAACTTTTGAACAACCCGATAGAATAAAAGTCTCCAAGCTATTCATCTCAAATTTTTCTGGAAGCGTTTTAACTTCTTTGCAATCTTTCAAGTCAACAGTGACAAGTTTCTTGTGTTGCCCAAGAGACTGGTGAATTTTAACCAAGTTAGAACACCTTTGAAGAATCAACTTTTCAAGATGAGGAATTCCATCAAAATTTGGGGTTTTGATGAGGTATTCTGAATGAGATAGATCAATGGACTTCAAGCTTCGAAGAGACTAACAATAAGGGAAAAAAGAAAAAGAAAGAATAGATCACAGACCAGAGACTAATTATAATTATAATTATAATTTATTAAATTATGGACAAACAATTTAAATAAAAGGACTGTAAGTACCTGTGTTCCTCTCCAAAGTTCTTTTAACTTGCTATGCTGCATTTTTAGCACAACAAGCTGATTGAGTTGAGGTTGACTTGGCAAATAAAATAATGGATACCCCTCCCATTCTATGACTTTCAACTCTTTGGAAAGAGACTTGAGTCCAAGCCGAAGATTCAATTGGCAATGTGAAACATGTGAGCGACTTGAAATGATAAGTAACTTGAGATTACTCAGTTTTGAGAAGGCTTCAGGATGCCAAAATGCATCACATGACTTTTCTAATGTTAGCATTATTCCCCGGGTTGCTTCTGTCCCCTATAAAACAACAAGTCAAGGTAAAAATGCATAAAAGTCATGCAATAAATTATTATAAGAGTGCACAAACACAAGAACTTTGGAATGTCACCTTATTTCCTCCTAATACATGATTGGCATCATCCAAGGACAATATCCTAGAACGCTTGCTGGCATCACCAGGTGATTCTTGATAGACAACACGCTTAGCCACATTTTGCAAAATTTCATGCACCCACAAACGCCCTTCATAATTAATTACTAGTGATTTCTCAATAAGAACCCTTATTCCAATTTTTGTGTGAAGATCCTTATCGAACGTTTCTAAAATGTGTATGATATGATCTTCATCCATCCCATTGAAAAAGCAAGCAATATCCAAGAATATGGTTTTCTCCTGGTCATCTAATCCGTGAAGACTCACTTCAAGTATCTTGGAAATGTCCTCTGGAGGATAGTTCTTGAACTTAGCCAGTGCATATTCCCATTCCTCTATCTTCCTTTTGCAAAGAAATGAACCTAACACTTTGATTGCTAAAGGAAGGCCTCCAGCATATTCAATGACGTTTGTAGCAAGTTTCAAAAAATTTTCATCAGGTTGCCCTTCTTTAAAGTCATTTTGAATGAGAAGTTCACGGGACTCACTATCAGTCAAGAATTCAATGTCATATATAGCACTATCAGATACACCATATGATGATAGCAAATGCTTATCCCTTGTTGTTATCACTATTATGCTCCCTTTGCTGAACCATCCTTGCCTTGGAGTGAAATTTTCAAGTTGCTCAATATGATTCACATCATCAAGGACAAGTAGAATTTTTCTGTTGGTCAACTTGCTTTTTATTAACTCCATTCCTTCATAAGAATCAGTCACTTCCATACTCCTTTTATCTAAAGAAAAAAGAAGTTTTCTTTGCAATGAAATCAAACGATCTTTTTCACATGCCTCTCTAATATTAGGAAGAAAACAATGATTCTTAAAGTTTCTGCGCTTTCGCTCATAAAAGGCTCTAGCAAGAGTTGTTTTCCCTGCACCTCCTGTGCCCCATATTCCTATAAACCCATCTCCTTTTGATTCACTTTCCACGATTGACTCCAATTTATCTAATTTTGGTTCAATTCCAATTAACCTGCCAAGACTAGATGCTGATTTATCAAGCAACTTTGACTCCATTTCTCCAACAAAGCTTTCAATGAATTCTGCTTCATACCTGCATGTGAAAATAAAATTATAAAGTGATCTTTTTTACATGAAAATAGCGTGATCGTTTAAGTCAACTGAATTTTAAATTTTTATGCATAAACAATTTTTTAAAAAAAGCAGGTAATGTGAGATGTAAAGAAAACATGACCGCAAATTTAGCAGTTTTAAGTTTACCATGAAATTTAGTTTAAATTAGTGGAAATAGCAATAATTTCATTTATAGAAGAGTTGTACATTGCCTCTGGTATTTACAGACATAGACGGTTATGTTTATTTGTCCACACGCTTTAATAGCTCCTAGATATTCAAATCATTTAATTAGCACATCATAGTTTGAGTTTCTCTTTTCTGGTAGTACGTCTTTTTTTTTTTTTAATTTTATTTGAGCACCTTTTCACAATAAACGTTGTCAGATTACAAGTTCGAATCTAACGCTATTTAGTAACGTTTTCAACTATCAATTTTTTTTTATTAATTATTCATTATTTATTAATAAACAACGAATTTCAAAATTTAGAGAAATTATCAATTTTTAATATTAATTTTTTAATGGTTGAATATTACATAATAATAATTATTTTGTAATTTTACTATATACTGTTTGTGTGCAATTGTATATTCAAGAAAATGTCCACTTCAGAATTCTATCATTAATCATTAATTGAGTTCAAGTCGAAAACTTAAATCATCTACAGCCAATACAGTCCTACAAGTCTATTTTACCAAGAAATATAAATAAAGGTCTACAATTAGATAAAAGGGCAAAAACATTAATTACCTTTCTATTTACATCAATTACGTACATAAATATTATTTTTATTTCAAAAATATATATAAACCTTCCTCATATGTTATTTTTATCTGTTCAATCATTAGTTTATTCAATTGTTAATTGAATGTTAAATTTAACTTTGAAACTTTTATTTTATCCAAAGTAACTCTATTTGACATAAAAAAATTATTTAAATATTTATATTTGTCAAAAACATAATTTTTCATACAATAGAAAATAATTCTAATTCATATAATTTCAAACTTTCTAGATTGTTATAAAATTTATTAATTATTAATTTTGATTATTTAATGAAATTGTATAATTGTTTTAGTACATGTATTGAAATGTATTTATTTAGATTTCTTTTAAACGGCTAAGATTATGTTTCAAATGCGTATATTATTCATCATATATAACAAATGATATAA